AGATAAAAGATAAATACTCCACCTACCACCTTCCATTTTCCCAACTACTGCAACCATCTCCAGGCCTGTTGCTATAGAGTCTACCCTTATGTCAATAAACAACAGCTGAAGCACCAAAAAAAAAAAAAAAAAAAAAAAAAAAAAAAAAACGTGCGGGGGAGATGGCTTAGTGGTTAAAAGCACACACTGCTCTTACAGAGGACCTGAGTTCCATTCCTAGAATCCACACCGAGTGGCTCACAATCACTTTAGCTTCGGCGGGGGGCCAGTGTCTCTTGCCTCTATGGACACCAGCACTCATGTGCACATATCCCTACACAGGTATACATGCAGATACATAATTAAAAATAATAAAATTTAAAAATTTTAAGTAGGGACTAGAGATGGCTCCATGGTTAAGTGTTTGCTGCACAATCATGAGGACCAGAGTTTGGATTCTAGCACCCATGTACCAAGCCAGGCAGCCCTCACATGCCTGCAAACCCAGATCTGAATGGGGGAGGAAACAGGGGGACCATTTAGTTTTTTGGCTTGCAGGCCTAACCAAGAAAATGTAAGCTTCCGTTTTAGGAAAGGCCTTGCCTTAAAGGAATAGGTGGAGAAGGTTAGAGAAGGGCACCTGACACTGTCTTTAGGTCTCTGTGTGTGCACAAGCATGCATACACACACACACAGAGGAATATATACTCACAAATAAAAAAATAAGTAAATAAATAAATGAGACCTTTCTGAACTAGTTTTCACAAGTTCCTATGAATTTATAATTATTCTTAAGTGAAAGTCCGTATCTATAAATTAACAATTAGAACAATGATCACCCTTGCGGAGACAGTATGTAGAAGTGAGCACAGCACACAGCATTCTGGGTTCTGGCAACATTCTGATTTCTAATATGAGTTACATGACTTTGTGGAGTTTGTGAACTGTATGTGTATAAATTATGTACACTTCTGTGTATTGTGTATCGATAAAACATGTTTTTAATATTTTATTTATTATTTTTATTATTTTTTTGAGACAGGGTTTCCCTGTAGCCCCAGCTGTCCAGGAACTCACTATGTAGACCAGGCTGGCCTTGAACTCACAGAGATCCACCTGCCTCTGCCTCCCAAGTGCTGGGATTAAAGGCATGCACCACCACGCCCGGCTATTTTTATATTTTTATGTGTATGCATGTATTGCTTGCATGTAGGTAAGTGTGCCCATGTCATGCAATGCCCGAGAAGGACAGAAGAGGCTGTTGGATCTCCTGGAACTGGAGTTACAGACAGTTGTTAGCTGCCATGTGGGTGCTGGGATTCAAACCCAGGTCTTCTGCAAGAACAGCCAGTGTTCTTAACCATTGAGCCATCTCACCAGCCCAATAAAAAGTTTTAAAAATAAATGAATCAAGCTACTTTATTTTTATTTGTCGTGTGTGTGTGTGTGTGTGTGTGTGTGTGTGTGTAGGTCAGAGGACAATATCAGGGGTTATCCTTGAAAACACTATCTGCCTCCTTGAAGATAAATCAATAAATGGAACGGAATAGAGACAGGCAATAGGTCTACAGATACATAGACAACCAATTTTTATTTTTTATTATATTATTATTATTATTTTTTTGGTCTTTTTGAGACAGGGTCTCCCTATAGCCCCAGCTGCCCTGGAACTCACTATATAGACCAGGCTGGCCTTGAACTCACAGAGACCTGCCTGCCTCTGCCTCCCAAGTGCTGGGATCAAAGGTGTGTGCCACCACGCCCGGCGAAAATCAATTTTTTAAAAGTTTTACATTAGCTGGAAATTCTTGGCTTAAAACCTAAACATTGTCAGTTTGAGAAGAAATCCTCCATGATGTTTAGCTTTATCCTTGCCATTTAAATCCTAGGGTGGGGGCTCGAGAGATGGCTCAGTGGTTAAGAGTACTGACGGCTCTTACAGAGGACCTGGGTTTGATTCCGAGCACCTACATGGCGGCTATGAACTCTCCTTAATTCCATTTCCCGAGGAATCTGAAGCCCTCTTCTGACCTCTGGGAGGCATTGCACAACACCGGTGCACTCATGCAGACAATACACGCATACACATAAAATAAAAATAATAAAAAAATTCTAGGGTGTCATTTTAAAAATATTTTTATTTTATGTGTATGAGTGCATTACCTACAAGTACGTAAGTGCATTTCTGTCCTGCAATGCCCACAGAGGTCAGGAGAGGGCGTTGGATTCCCCTGGAACCCCCTGGAACTGGAGTGATGGACGGTTGTTAGTTATGTGGGTACTGGGTGGGAATCGAACCCAAGTCCTCTGAAAGAGCAGCCAGTGCTTTTAACCACTGAGCCATCTCTCCAGCCCCTTGGGTGTCTTTTTTTTTTTTTTTGTCTTTTTGAAACAGAGTCTCCCTGTAGCCCCAGCTGTCCTGGAACTCACTATGCAGACCAGGCTGGCCTTGAACTCAGAGATCCTCCTGCCTCTGCCTCCCAAGTGCTGGGATTAAAGGAGTGCGCCACCACGCCTGGTTCTTTTTGTTTTTTTTTTAATCCTTGCTAAAATTTAACCAAAATCAGGCTACATTATATTTTTAAAGTATGACCCATTTGAGGGGCTGGAGTGATGGCTCAGCAGTTAAAAGCTCTGGTTGCTCTTGTAGAGGACTTGTGCACCCACATGGCAGCTAACAACCAGCTCAGATCCAATGCCTTCTACTGGCCTCCATGAGCATTGCATGACACAGGAGCACTTACATGGAGGCAAAACACTCATTCACATAAAATTAAAAATAAATAAATCAAGCACTCAGGAGGCAGAGGCAGGTGGATGTCTGTGAGTTTGAGGCCAGCCTGGTCTACATAGTGAGTTCCAGGCCAGCTGGGCTATAGGGAGACCCTGTCTCAAAAAGATCAAAACATAAGAAATACATAAATAGCTATTTCTGAGACAGAGTCTCCCTGTAGTCCCAGCTGGCCTAGCACTCACTATGTAGACCAGGCTGGCCTCATTAAGGCATGTGCCACCACGCCTGGCCTAAAAAGTGAGTTGTTTTTCAGGCGCCTTAAAAATGATATCAGGTGGGGCTTGAGAGATGGTTCCACAAAGACACAGGAGTGCTAAGCAAGTACTTTTTTACTGCCCTATATTCCCAGCCCTTTTTTTTTTTTTACTATTTTATTCTGAGATGGGATCTTTATATATTGCCCAGGCTGATCTTGATCTTGTAGTATTCCTGCTACATCCTTGAAAGTAGCTGGGATCACGGGCCTTCAATACCAGCCCCAACTCTATCTACTACCTTTAAAAAACTTACTTTTAAGCTGAGTGTGGTGGCACATGCCTTTAATCCTAGCACTGGGGAGGCAGAGGCAGGCAGATCACTGCGAGTTCAAGACCAGCCTGGTCTTCATAACGAATTCCAGGCCAGCTGGGGCTACAGGGAGGCCCTATCTCAAAAAAACAAAACAAAACAAAAAAAAAAACCCTTCTTTTTATTGTAGTTGTAAATGATGTGTGTGTGTGTGTAGGTCAGAGGACAACTTTGTGGGGTCATTTCTCTCCTTCCACCTTTATGTGGGCTCCAGGGATGGAATTCAGGTATCAGACTTGCACAGAAAGTCTTTACTAGTTGAGTTATCTTGCCAGCCCCCTGCTACCATTTTAAAAATATTTTATTATTTTTATGTGTATGAGTACATTTCCAAATGGCTATTCAGTTGTTCCAACTCTGCTTATTAAAAATTTCAATTTCTTCATGAGCTGGGAGTGGTGGCGCATGCCTGTAATCCCAGCACTTGGGAGGCAGAGGCAGGTGGATTTCTGTGAGTTCAAGGCCAGCATGGTCTACATAGTGAGTTCCAGGACAGCTGGTGCTACAGGGAGACCTTGTCTCAAAAAGAAAAAAAAAAATTTCAACTTCTTTCTCCCACTGACTTCCCTACCTAATTATAAGTTAAATTTCCAAAGACAGGTAATTATATTTCTAGGCTTTACTTTTTGTCTCATTAGTCTTTCCATGTGTGTTTGTATTTGATAATGGATACTGAACCCAGGGCCTTGTACATAAGCATGTGTTCTACACCCCCAGCCCATGGTCTGTGTGCATATTTATAGGTATCATTAACACATTTCTAAAATTATGGAGACTTTACAATCTATTTTAATATAAATATTAAAATATATAGTTGCATGACATGGGTGGACTTACACACATGGGTGGACTTACACACATAAAATAAAAATAATAAAAAAAAATTTTTTTGGTCTTTTTTGAGACAGGGTCTCCCGGAATAGCCCCAGCTGTCCTGGAACTCACTATGTAGACCAGGCTAGCCTTGAACTCATAGAGATCCGCCTGCCTCTGCCTCCTGAGTGCTGGGATTAAAGGCATGAGCCACCACGCCAGGCAAAAATAATAAAAATTTTTTAAAAGATTTTTTTGTTTTGAGACAGGGTCTCCCTGTAGTCCCAGCTGGCCTCTGGAACTCACTATGTAGATCAGGCTGCTGTGAGCTCACAGAGATCCACCTGCCTCTGCCTCTTGAGTATTGAGATTAAAGGCATGTGCCACCATGCCCATATTAGAGTTTTCTTTGTGTAAATCTGCATATTTCTGTTATTGCTTGAGCACTTATCTTCTTTCCTGCTCTTTTTAAAAATGTAGGTGATTGAGTCCAAGGCCTTATCTGATTGAGGCATAGTCCTAACTGTCTATTTTTAGTTGAGTCTATTTTAGCCAGGTGAGGTGGTGCACATCTGTAATCCCAGCACTTGGGAGCCTGAGACAGAAGGATCACCACAAGTCTGAGGTCAGCCTGAACTACATAGTAGGTTCTAAGTGAGCCTGGCTTGTAGAGTGAAAGCCTGAATAACGATAATAATAATAATGAAAATAGTGTCTACTCGCATGTTAAATTCTCTAATTGGTTATTATTTGAGTATGGAAAGGTGGGTGTATTTCTGATTTTAATTTTGGACATTACAACTGTTTTTGTGTGTGCTGGGGATTAACCTCAGGGCCACAGGCATGTTAGGCAAATGCTTTGCCCCTGAGTATACCAGCCAGCCCTGTTTGTTAACTTTATAAGCTGGCACTTGACTAAATTTTCTTATTGCTTATAGTTTTTCTATTGGTTCTCTTGGATTTTTTTTCAGACATATAATAACATCATCTGCTAAAAGAGACTTTTTAGTTTGTACATTTAACAGTCAAATATCTTGTAAGTAGTAGTAATTCTTATCTCATGCATTTTAAATGAAATGCTAGACACTTTCTAGCTCGTTAGCCTGTACTGACCCCTACTGACCTAGAGCGGCACACACAACCACAAACAGATGTTATCAGTCTAATCCTATCTATTGCTGGCAACACAAATGGGATAATCTGTTGTTTTCAACAAAAATTCCAGGTTTTCAGCACTTCATAAACTCAACATACACTTACACATACATTCATTGCTCTGAGTCAAGGCCAAGGAAGGGTTATGAGGAATTAAAGCTGTATGTTTAAGTTACTAGAGAAGTCCAAGGCCTGGTAAGTTTGCTTCACGTTATAAGCATAATGAGATAGTGTTCAATGATATCTAAACTTAGATTAACTCTTTGGTTACAAGGTTAGGTAAAAGTCATTCCCACAAATTTTCATTTTAGAAATGGATGTGAATTATGACAGATGGTTTATTGGCAACTGTAGAATAAACATATGATATTTCTTCTTAGAAAGACTACTATAAATCAGGTAAGCAATGGGCTTCTGTAGTTCCAGCTACTCTGGTGGCTAGGCAGGAGGCTCACTTGAGCTCAGAAGTTCAAGACAACTCTGGCAACATAGCAACACCCTGTCTCTAAATTAATTAATGACCCATTTAAAAATGGGGGCTGGAGAGATGGCTCAGTGGTTAAGAGCACTAGCTGCTCTTGCAGAGGACCTAAGTTTGGATCCCAGTACCTACATGGTGGCTAATAACTGCCCATAACTCCAGTTTCAGGGTATCTGATGCCCTCTTCTGGCCTCCAAGGGCATTGCATGACAGGAGGGCATGTCAGGGCTGGACAGATGGCTCAGTGGTTAAGAGCACTGGCTGCTCTTGCAGAGGATCCAGGTTCAATTCCTAGCACCCATATGGTGGCTAACAACCATCCATAACTCTAATTCCAGGAGAATCTGATGCTCTCTTCTGACATCCGCAGGAATTACACATGGGTGCACTAACACACATGTAGGCAATACACTCATACACATAAAATATTAAAAAAAGAAATGTTGGGGCTGGAGAGATGGCTCAGTGGTTAAGAACACTGTTCTTGCAGAAGACCTGGGTTCAAATCTCAGCACCCACATGGCAGCGAACAACTGTCTGTAACTCCAGTCCCAGGGGATCTGACAGTCTCTTCTATCCTCCGTGGGCAGTGCATGACATGGGTGCACTTACCTACATGCAAGCAACACATGCACATACATAAAATAAAACCATCTTTTATTCCCATACTATTATTGATCACAAGTACAATTTTTAAATGTGCTCTTGAATTCAATATGATAATATCGTCTTTAAACTTTTTTGCAGTATTAATGAAACTGTTCTATAGTCTTATACATGAGTGAAAATCTTCTTGTCCTGGGGATTGAACCTAGGCCTCACATGTGCTAAGCAAGCACTCTACCACTTAGCTACCTTTATCACATTTTGCTGTTGATGTTAAGGCCATTTCATAAATTTTTTTGATAGTATCCTCTTTTTTCTATGACCGACAACATTTAAGTAAAATTAAGGAAGATTATTAAATATTTGAGTTGTAATGAAATGGTTTTCATACTTTTTTCATGGGATATTATTTTTACTTGAAAGAATAAGTGACATCCTTTACAATTACGATATTCAACTTGGGTATTTGGTTAGACATTCTTTTTTTGAGACAGGGTCTCCCTGTAGCCCCAGCTGGCCTGGAACTCACTATGTAGACCAGGCTGGCCTCGAACTCACAGAGATCTGCCTGCCTGTGTCTCCCAAGTGCTGGGATTAAAGGCAGACAGATGGTTTATTGGCAACTGTGGAAATAAACATATATTTTTTCTTAGAAAGACTACTATAAGCCAGGTGAGCGTTGGGCTTCCATAGTTCCAGCTACTCTGGTGGCTGGACAGGAGGTTTACTTGAGCTCAGAAGTTCAAGATAACACCACACCTGGCAACATTTTCTCAAAATAAACAGAATAAGCGTGTCCTTTTAAAGAAAACAAATGATGGTATTTGTTGCCATAATAAACTCAAAGCTTTCTAATGAAAATTAGGAATTTGGAAGACTTATATCTGCAACTGTTTTAGGTTATTAAAATACTTTGCCAGGGGCTGGAGAGATGGCTCAGCGGTTAAGAGCACTGACTGTTCTTGCAAAGGATGCAGGTTCACGATTCCCAGCACCCACATGGCGGCTACAAACCATCTTTAACTCCAGTTCCAGGGGAATCTGAAGCCCTCTTCTGACATCCACCCATTGCACGACACGGATGCACTCACATACATGCAGGCAATACACTCCTACACATGAAATAAAAATAATAATAAATAAAATATGGCTTATCTTGTGTGAGGGAAAATGGAGCTCGACGCCCTGAGTAGATCCGCCAGCCCAGTCAACCCGGCTGTTTTCCCCCCGACTATGGTACTTCTAGCCATCGGCATGTTCTTCACCGCCTGGTTCTTCGTTTACGAGGTCACCTCCACCAAGTACACATGTGACATCTACAAGGAGTTCCTCATCTTCTTGGTGGCCTCCTTCTTCATGGGCTTCGGTGTCCTCTTCTGCTCTGGGTTGGCATCTATGTATGAGTCTCCAAGGGAACCCACAGGCAGTTTCACCAAGCCCCTGCTTTTGCAAATTAATTTTTCTTACCATTGATAAAAGTGTCCCACCTGCTGCTTACAATAAAGGCTGATGTGTAACAAAAATAATAAAATAAAAAATAAAATAAAAAACCTTTCCAATAGCATATTTGGGTGCATCCAGATCTTTCACTTCAACCAAAGTTGCAGATTGTAACAGTGTTAAGGCAGAAGTAAATGCATAGCTCTACCTGCTTTTTATTAATCTACCTAAGAGATTACAAAAAAAAATGATAAACTAAAAAAAGCTCTCAAAAGTGGTTTTGTGTTGGAAAATATATTTTCCATGTTATTTATGTTAGCATTGGGTTTATTATTATTTTCAAATTAAGTATTCTAAAATTTCTCACTTTTGATTGCCAACATGATCTAGGTGGTGGAGCACGCCTTTAATGCCAGCACTCGGGAGGCAGAAGCTAGAGGATCTCTGTGACACGAAGGCCAGCCTGGTCTACAAGGTGAGTTCCAGGCCAGCTGGGGTTACAGGGAGACCCTGTCTCAAAATGTGCAAAACAAAAACAGTGCCAACACTGTAAATGTTGGTCAATACACTTTACACGAAAAAAAGAAAGAAAGATATTTGGGGATTCAACTTTTTTTTCTTTAGCCCTGGTCTTCCTGTAGCCCCTCACTATGTGGACCAGCCTGGCCTCCGTCTCAGAGATCCGCCTGCCTCTGCCTCCCACCACGCCTTGTGACTCCATTTTCTTTCGAGCTCAGGTCATTTAATAGATTCTGGTAGGCTGATCTTGCAGCTCTGATGATAACGAGCAGCCGACTGCATCCCTCCTTCGTGGACTACCACGAAGACGCCCCTCTGCCTACCCAGCCACCGTAGGACCCACCTTCCAGGGAGACGCCTGGATGCTTCTGCGGCTGCGCGGCGCCCCGGCCCCGCCCACCCACCACACCCGCTTTGGCTGGTGCAGGCTAGCTCGCCTGCGTTGCTTCGGGCTTCCCTTCTGTGTTTCCCGCCATTGCCTGCGCTTCCTGAGGAGAAGCGGGTGCTTTCTTGAGAGCCATCCTGGGAGCCCAGCGGCCCAGCTAATAGGGAAGGTAGCTATGAAAGCACGCGTGGTTGGGAGAGCTCGGGCGCGGGAAGGCGTCGTGGCCCGGCCCTGCGGAGTCGTCCGGCCCTGCGGCCTGAGCCGCCATCACTGCCTTCGGCGTCGCGCACTGTGTGCCGCATTCGCTGACTCCCCTGCCTGGAAGTTAGGGTAGCTGAGCACCAAGGGGGCTCCCAGGAGTGCTGTGGGATGCCCCAGCGCGGGCTGGTTATTCAGCAAGAGAGTCACCGCGTGGTGCACACTAGCAGTCATTTCGTAAACCAACTCTATAAAATACTTAGAGAAAAAGACTGCCAGGCGTGGTGGCGCGCGCCTTCAGTCCCAGTCCTGGAACGCACTATGTAGACCAGGCTGGCCTTGAACTCACAGAGATCCACCTGCCTCTGCCTCCCAAGTGCTGGGATTAAAGTCGTATACCACCACACCCTGTTGCTTCTGTATTTTTCAAATGTCAATTTCTTGGTTTAAAAATAACACACACACACACACACACACACTCCAAAAAAACCAAAATTCCAAAAAGTGAGGTGACATCGTGGGTAAAGATACTTGTCACCAAGAATCTAGCTCCCCAGAATCCAGTTGGTGGAGACACACACACAAATAAATATGAAATTAAATTAAAATCCCATAGTTACTTTTGTTCGGATATATTTAACAAATTATGTGAAATTGCTGTTGGCAGAAAATTCAGAATTCAGAGTTATGGTATGGTTACCATGTCCGACACAAGGACCGTTTAATATGGAATTAGGGAATTTTTTAATATGGAATATTTAATGTGGAATTTTTCCATAGAGAATCGGGAAAGACTTGGATTCTAATCTCAGAACTTCCAGTAAAGATGGAACTTTGAATAAGCTGATTAATTGCAGGGATAATTATGTGCATCTTTTGAATAAAGATATGGACAAAACATGATTTTTAAGACATCTTCCAGATCTGAGTTACTGTAGGATAGAAAGCAAAAGGCACAAGCTGAGATATTACCTCTCATCAACTGTGTTTCCTCTTACATAAAATGTGTCCAAGGGGTTCAGAGGTTTCATAACCTGGTAGTTCTTGCAGAGGATCCAGGTTCAATTCCCAGCACCCACATGGCAGCTTCTGTAACTCTAGTTCCAAGGGTTCTGACATCCTCTTCTGGCCTCCACGGGCATTGCACAACACAGGTGCACTTACACACATGGAGGCAATACATTCATACACTTAAAAACAATAAAATGTGTCCAAATACTACTATGGATAGGACCTATATCTGGTCCACTGACTGCCAGTGGTTCCTTTCTCGATGTGGCACACGCCTTTACTCCCAGCACTCGGGAGGCAGAGGTGGGTGAATCTCCTCTGTAAGTTCGAAACCAGCCTGTTCCAGGCCAGCTGGGCAACTCAAAAAAAAAAGTAGATGAGGGCTGGGCCTGGGGCTCAGTAGTAGGTGCTTACTTAGTGTTCATGAGACACTGGGTTTGATCCGTGGCATCACACAAAAAAAGATGGTATGCTTTTCCTTTTTTAAAAAAAATATTTATCATTTTTATTTTATGTGTACAAGTGTATTGCTTGCATGCATGTGAGTGCACCTGTGTTGTGCAATGTTGCAGAGGTCAGAAGAGGGCTTTGGATTCCCCTGGAACTGGAGTTAAGGACGGTTTGTAGCCTCCATGTGGGTGCTGGGTACTGAACCCGGGTCCTCTGCAAGAGCAGTCAGTGCTCTTAACCGCTGAGCCATCTCTCCAGCCCCTGCTTCTCCTTTTTCAAAGATTGCTTTCCTAATTACAAATTGGCATGTTAATCTAGAATATTCAGAAAACAAGTGTAAAAACAAAACACAAATATTTATAATTGCACCACTCCCCAAAAAAAAAACAAAAGAAAAAACCTTGTCACTGTCTTCTGACTTTTCTACTGCTCTTAAATCTCTAATGGCATGCAGTATAGTCGGCTGCTTTTTCACATTTTATAAATGTCCATACTTGTAGACAAATGCAATGCCCACAAATAGTCCAATGGACTATTAGAAGCTAAGCATCAGTGTTAAATAGATTTTGGAATAGCTGTAATTATATTATGCTTCACATTATTCTTATTCTTTCTGTCTGCTCAGAATGGATTGGTTTCACTGCAATCAGTGTTTCCGAAAAGATGGGGTCCATTTCTTTGTCACCAGCTGTGGCCATATTTTCTGTAAAAAGTGTGTGGCTCTGGGTGAGTGAGTTAATCGCTTTCATGTTCATCCAAAAATGTTTTTAACCTAGGTATAATGAATAGCCATTTCTCCGTGTGACTTAGAATGAAAATCACTTGGTAGGTATCAGGGATGGTGTGGATACTAAAGGCAACTGCCCATTTTGGAAATTAAAAGACTCCATTAATAAAGAATGGTGCTAAATGATTTTGCAAAAGGTATCCTTCAGTGTTTTGAGTTGTGTTAAGGAAAGGCACAGTGGATGAAAAATGATGATGATGATGATACCTTGCAGCTTAAAAAGACATTTTTCAATTTATGTGTCTGTTTTACAGTTATGGGGGTAGAACCTAGGACTTTACACAAGCTAGGCAAGTGTACTACCACTGAGCTACAGTCCCAGCTGCCCCCCCACATCAGTTTTTAAAATAACTTATATTGTTTATTTACAATAAACAATTATTTTTCAGTTTTTGTTGTTGCTGGGTTTTTATTTTTATTTTTTTGGTAGGGTCTTACTCTATAGGCCTGGCTGGCCTGGAACTCACAATCTTTCTGCCTCAGCCTCCCAACTGCTGGGATTACAGACATGCTTCACCATACCCAGTCAACAGAACCAGTTTTATGCAGTCTTCACCAGAGTCCTGATTAGTAATTACTGGAAGAACTACTTTGCAACTGAGGAAATTAGCTCAGAGAATAAATGATTGACCAACCCAGGACCTCTGGGATGATAGATAAACTATCCCTGAGCTATACTGCTAGTTGCACATGTTTTATTAATGCAAAAATACTTATGAGAACTGGATAAGCAGACATGGTGGTGCATGCCTGTAGTCCCTGCTACATGGGAAGCTCAGTCATGAGGCTTACATGAATAGAGAAGCTGAAGGTCAATCTCAGCAACATACAGAGACTCTGAGAACAACAGCAACAGTAACAAAAAACCCTGTTATGTAAATTCCCAGAAGAGGAATTTAGGGTGGGTGCTTTGATCAAGGAAGACTTCACAGAGGATATTCTTCTGTGATAAGATTTTTGGATAATAAAGGAGTTTCCCAAGTTTGGCAACATCATTCTAGTTTAAAACAACAGCATGGGGGCTGGAAAGATGACTCAGTGATTAAGAGCACTTGCTGCTTTTGCAGGGGATCTAGGTTTGGCTCCTAGTCATCCAAATGACAACGCACAACTATCTGTAATTCTAGTTCCAGGGAATCTGATACCCTCTTTGGCCTCTGTGGGCACCAGGCATGCACATGTTGCACTTATTGCAGGTAAAACACTCGTATGCATAAGATTAAAAAAAAAATCTTTAAAGAATAAAACTACATAAGCCGGGCGTGGTGGCGCATGCTTGTAGTCCCAGCACTCGGGAGGCAGAGGCAAGTGGATCTCTGTGAGTTCAAGGCCAGGCTGGTCTACATAGTGAGTTCCAGGCCAGCTGGGGCTACAGGAAGACCGTTTCAAAAAGACCAAAAGAATAAAAAATAAAAAACTATGGGGTGTGGCATCATTAAACCACAGAGCAGATGGCTACCCAGAGTTGGGACTGGTAGAGCATAAAGAGAAGGTAAGAAACGTTGAAAGATGAAGCTAAAGAGGTAGCAATGGCAAACTGATAGGCATTTCTGTCTACCAGCTAAGGATCCTGAACTTTATCCTGCTGATTATAGGTGGTTTGGGAACTTTCTTTTTGTCTTAAATAGAGTAATATGGAGGACAGACTGGGGAAGAACCTTTATTCCCCAAGGAAAGAACAGTCAGGTTAAATAGTCTCTGGAGAAGCCCTTTGTTTTTATTTTTTTCTGTGTGTCCCATGACGCCTTAAGTTATCTCCCAATATAATGAGACTGTCCACTATGGTAACAGCAGCTCACTTTGGAGTGATTGTCTCTATGAAACAAAGCCATGTGATGCTTTCTCCTGACATGGTTTTTTTTTTTGTTTTGTTTTTGTTTTTGATGATGGGAATTGAACCCAGACTAGTGCACTAGTGCTCTATGACTGAGCCTCATCCCAGCCCTGTGGCATTTATCTTAATCTCTAGTACCACTACTAATATTACACTTACAAGGAATGATTAGAAATTTTACCTGTTGCTTCTTTCAGATTTTATTAATTGAAGAATGAAAGGAGAACTTCAAAGCAAGATCTAGGAATATTAGCAGAGTGATAAAAGAGTGGGAATAACTGGGGACCTTCTTAACAGTACCCAGTGTGTGACTGCTCTCAGAGGATAAAGAAGAATCACCTAAGGCCTGGAGAGATGGCTCAGAGATTAATAGCGCTTGTTCCTCTTGTAAAGAACTTTGGTTTGGTTTCCAGCACCCACATGGCAGCTAATACCTGCACATAACTCCAGTTCCAGGGGCCCCAACACTCTCCTCTGAGGGCATTGCACAACACAGGTGCATTTACATGCAGGCAAAACACTCATACACATAAAAAAAACAAAACAAAAAACCAAACACCTAATTAAAATCATTGGGGCTAGAAAGATGGCTCATCAGTTAAGAGCATTGGCTGTTCTTACAGAAGACCCAGGTTTGAATCCCAGTACTCATAATGGCAGCTAACAACTGTCCATAACTCCAGTTCCAAAGCCCTCTTCTGTCCTCTGTGGGTACTTCAGGACATGGGTGCACTTACACATATGCAGGCATAACACTCATACACATAAAAAAAAATTAAAATCATTGGTACTTTTATTCTTCCCAGTATGCTTGTAAATGTATTTTAGTACTTCTATTGGGTGATTAGAATTTTCCCTTATGTCTCAAAGAGGAATATTGAATTTTAAAAAAACAAAAAACAAAATAACAAAAAACAGGGAGATGAAGTGGGCAAATCATATCTATAAAGGCCTGTAATCCCAATACTTAGAGGAGACTGAGGCAGGAGGATTGCTACAAGTTCAGGCCAGCCTGGGCTACATTTATCAGATCTTGTCTCAAAGCAAGCAAGCAGGGAGAGAGGGAGGGAGATGAGCATAGTGTAAAGCCTCATACTTCTGCATATTTGTTTGGAAATACTTATTTAAAGAACAGAGATTAGGTTAATGTACTTTTATAAGCTCGGTGGTATTCTAAATTGGGTAAGAACTTATTTCTTCTCTTGCTAACCTACTTAACAGTTACTATATACTTTAAGAGAATCTTACCTCCTGCCCATGAGAACAAAATATTTTTTCCTTTTTCTCTCAGAAAAATGTGCTGTTTGTGGAATTCCTTGTAAGCATCTGGCTCTTTCTGAAAATGTAAGTTATTTCCCTTGTCACAAACTATCTTATCCCATTCCTGACCCATAGAAGGTATACATAAAGTACAGATGATAAGTTTTTAAAAAACAGAACAACCAACCTTGAAGGCAGCAACTGTAAAAATATAGAATGATTTTATTCCATTCCAGCATCAGTACTTTCTTTGATTTTGTTGTAAATATTCTCACTGGGTCTACTCTCTCCATAGCTAAAGCCTCAAGAGAAGAAATTCTTCAAAAGCCCTGTGGAGACAGCTTTGCAGTGTTTTAGTCACATCTCTCAGGTATGAGAAATAAAAATGAAGAAAGGTTATTTCTGATTTGAGTTCAAGACTACCCTAGGCCATGTAGTGAGTCTTATGGGTAAATAAAGGGGGGTTGGGGCTGGAGAGATGGCTCAGTGGTTAAGAACACTCTCCTCTGAGGGCATTACACAACACAGGTGCATTTACATGCAGGCAAAACACTCATACACATAAAACAAACAAACAAACACCTAATTAAAATCATTGGGGCTAGAAAGATGGCTCATCAGTTAAGAGCATTGGTTGTTCTTAAGAAGACTGGGATTCAAATCCCAGCACCCACATGGCAGCTAACAACTGTCCATAACTCCAGTCCCAGGGGATGTGAAAGCCTCTTCTGACCTCCGAGGGCATCTCTCCAGTCCCAGCCTTGAACTTCTGATTCTCTCGCCTCCACCTCCTGAGTGCTGAGATTACAGGCATGTTCTACCACACCAGGTTTATATGGTGTTGGGATGAAAACCAGGGCCTTACACTGGGCAGGCACTCTACCAAGTGAGCTACATCCCTAGCTCCTTGCTTTTTTTTGCACACAGGATTTCCTTATAGTCCCAACTGGCCTGGAACTTGCTATGTGGACTAGGCTCACTCCATGTCACAGAGATCTGCTTGCCTCTGCCTCCCTAGTACTGGCATTAAAGCTCTACTTTTTTGAGAAAGCATCTCAACTATGTAGTTCAGACTGGCCTGGCCTTGATACATGATCCTCTTGCCTCTACCTTCTGAGTGCTGGGATTATAGGCATATATCACCACATCTGGGAAATTGAGCCTAGAGTCCTACATATACTAAGCAGGCTGGCCTTGAACTCACAGAGATCCACCTGCCTCTGCCTCCCAAGTGCTGGGATTAAAGGCGTGAGCCACCACGCCCGGCAGTTCAGTTCTTGTTCTTAAGAGAGTATACATGTAACCCAGACTGGCTTTGAACTTCATACAAAGCCAAGGATGACTTTGAACTTCATTGTTTTTCCTCAGTTTCCCAGGTTCTGGGATTATAGGTATGTCCCACTATACCCAGTTGGAGCATACCTTTTCTAAAACATGAAATTGATCCTTAGTCATTTTCCGGTTATAAATAGATTTTTCATCAATGTTTGCCCAGACCCCCAGTCTTAACTCGAGCTAGAGTAAGCAAAATTAGACCTTGGCTGTATCCTGGCTTTTGTTGCTTGGGTGAGCCATTTTATTTGAGATACTATGTTTACCGTTATGAGAAGATAAAATCTAGCTGAGGCTCAAGGAGAAATGTAAAAGGGGTCATGTGAATAAGAGAGAAACAGACCTTTGGTTAATATCTAAACCTAAGGTTAGTTAATGATCAGTAAAGAAATCATGTATATCTCAAGCTTAGCCTGCCTAATCATGGGATCAATTACACATGGTCAAATAATCAAGGAAAAAGAAATAGGAAGGGCCAGTTAATCATCACTTTAGTGAAGGGCCAGTTTGGTGAAGTCAGCAATCTAAAAATATATCTTCCTAATCTGTGAAGTTGAATAAGCAATGATATTCATAACACCTAAATTGTTTCATTCAAGCTTCTGCTTAAAATTTCTTTCCACAGACGGACCTTAACTGACATTTTAGACATAGTACCAACATTTTCCACCATTGTTTTAGTTTTCATGATAGCTCTTATCTATACCATTATTTTATCTATGTGTTTATTTTCTGAATCCTACAATGGATTATAACTCCGTGAAGACAGATATTTGGTCAGTTTCCTTTCTTGTTCTCTGAATAGTTCCTAATACAGACATCCAAAACATTGTCTTTAAGTGAATGTATGGACTGTTGCTCTTAATGTGCATTTCAGATCTCTATAATGACCCTACAAGGGAATTTTTCTGCTGTACTATGTGCTAGTAGTTGATAAAGCTGCCTGTTTTGAATTCTTTCTTTTTAAAGTATTTTATTATTTTTATTTTATGTGTATGAGTGTATTGCCTGCATGTGTGTAAGTGCACCTTGTTACTGCAGTCACAGACAGTTGTTAGCTTCCATGTGGATCCTAGGAACTGAACCCAGAACCTCTGCAAGAGCAGCCCGTGTTCTTACCTGCTGAGCCATCCCTTCAACCCGTTTTGAATTCTTGACTCACCTTTAGATAACTTTTCAAAGGAATTGATTAACTCCATAAGGACCTGTTAGTTGTTATATTCCCGTGTCATAGACCTTACCTTTACTCTCGACTAGCCATCGTTCAAATGCATGCCAGTAATTGCTCCTTTTTTGGTAAAGCCTCCCATGGTTTCTGTTGCAGTTTTGCCTTGTCTCTTGTACTCCTATCCCTCATTGCTTCTACTTAAACTCACAGAGATCCTTCTGCTTTGCATCCTAAGTACTGGATTACAGGTGTGCACCACCACACCTAGCTGGGGCTAGCTAATCCTGAGGTATGGTTTTCAGAAAGAATTAGTTGAGCTTACTGTAGGCAGGAGAGAGAGATGGGGGTGGGGGATGTTCAGTGTGGTGGTGCACGTGTTTAAACCCAGCACTTGGGAGGCAGAGGCAGGCAGATCTCTGTGAGTTGAGGCCATTCTGAGCTACATAGCAAGGTCCAGGCCAGCCAGAGCTACATAGTGATAGACCCTGTTTCAAAAAACAGAAAGGAGAGAGAACTATCTAGATGCCCGGGATTTTCTCTTGAGCAGCCAAGCAAGGATGCTTGTACTTTCACCAAACCAAGAAGACTTTGTAGTTTGTGAGGCGTTTGTTGTCATTTTGTGATTGACTCCAGAACCTTGAACATGCTAGGCAAGTACTTTATCTCTGAGCTATATCCCCAGGCTTCTCTTTTCTTTTCTTTTTTCTTTTCTTTTTTTCAATGTGAATGTTCAGAAAGGCCAGTCTCATTCAGCTCATTCAGAGCAGTTGACTTTTTACTTTATAATTATGCGACAGCCCTTGCTTAGTTGCTCAGATAGGACTTGAACTTACAGTTCTTCTGTCTCAGTCTCCCTAGTAGCTAGGATTAAAGACCTGTTTCACCAAGCCTGAATAAGAAGATGGTTTTATTTATGTTTTAGGTTTCATTTTATTTTGTTTTGTCTGGAACTTGCTATGTAGATGGGGCTAGCCTCAACTTCACAAGAGATCTGCCTGCCTCTGCCTCCCAAGTGCTGGGATTTAAGCCATGCAACCACCACACTTGGCTGTTTTTGAGAACAGGTCTCACTATGTAACTCTACCTGTCCTGGAAATCCCTATGTAGGTCAGGCTGGCCCCAAACTCAGAGATCTCTCTGAGTGCTGAGATTAAAGGTGTAAACTGTCACACTTGAGTTACAGTTTCTAAAAAGAATCCAGAATGTGAAGAATATCCATAATATTCTTTGCTCCTAAATATGGAGCTGAAGGGAAGGAGTCTAAATCTATAAGTAGGTAGTTTTGCCCAGTATTATAATAAAACAAATAATACCTAACACTTGCATTATCCAGACAGTGTTTAGTGTTGTAATATACAGCTTTTATTGTTATTTGCTCTGAGTACTGCTGAGCCATCTCTCCAGTCCTGTTTTTTTTTTTTGTCTTTTTGAGACAGGGTCTGTAGCCCCAGCTGTCCTGGTACTCACTATGTAGACCAGGCTGGCCTTGAACTCACAGAGATCTGCTTGCCTCTGCCTCCCGAGTGCTGGGATTCAAGGCATGCGCCACCACGCCACTATATCTTTTTTTAAAAAAAGAAAAAAACAAGGGGGACAAACTTGTCTTTTGGGAAAACACAAAAAGGTTAATCTTTTCGTGAGGCTCAGAGATTAAGGTGATTACTAACTATTGGAATTTTTCTTTGAAATACTGAGCTGTTATTGCTGGGTTAGGCTTTAGACTCTTTGGTTTGGACATACCTGAAACACTGTACCCTAGCATCAGATAAAGTCATTGGTGCTTCCCTACTGCTTTTTGCTGGTAGTTCTGCACTGGTCTCCTTGGAATGGTGCTTTGTGACTCTACTGCTGGGGAGATGTGAGCAAATGACCATTCAACGCAGATGGGGAACTGACAGTAGACTAAAGGATACCATCAAAGTCCAACTTGGTGAACCAATGAATTTAATTGGGATTACTTCCAGGAATATGGATGAAGGGTTACTTATAGGAGCAGAAATGACTCAAAGACAGCTGTATCACCAAAAGCCCACCTCAGCATGGTGACAACTCATGAAACCTGGAGCTTACAGCATGAGTGTCTTTTAAAGGCAGTTCAGTTGGTCTCTGCCTCTTCCAGGTGACTAGGTTGGTCTGTACCTATTCTAGGCAGCTGGAGTGCTTGTCTGAGTCTCTCAGCAGTCTTTTCTGCTCATATAAGCTTGGGGAAGGAGGGACCCAGTGAATCTGGTCAGTTTCAGGGACTTCCTGAAGCTATTGAAGTATTTCCTGAATTTTAACAAGCTTCTCTAGTAATGTTTCACCTCCTTTTAGAACATCCTCTGTCTTAAAGAACTTCCCTGAAGAATGGAATGTTTTGTTTTATCTCAGAGGAAAGTTCTTACAACACTCCACCCTTCCTCTGTCTCCTATATTCTTTCAATCCCCTCTTCCAAAATGGTCCCTGAGCCTTGACATTGAAGTTGACTATGGTCCTCTTTTTATTTTTCTCTCTGTTTTGGAGCATGACTGGTGGTGAATACTGGTGGTATTTGTTGTTGTTGTTGCTATAAAACACAAGTGAGGAGGCATGTGCCTTTAATCCCTCCAGAGACAGACAGAGCTCTATGTGAGTTCAAGGCCAGCCTAGTCTACATAGTGAGTTCCAGACCAGCCAGGGACACATAGTGAGACCCTATCTCAAAAACAAAAACAAACAAACACACAAATGAGGAAAAGGCAGAAAACAGGAAACAGAAGAATATCCCATTTGGCACTGAAAGCAGTAATAACCTATGGTCATAAACATAAACCTTGGGAAGCACCCTTAGCTGGTATATCATATTTATTTACCAAAGCAATAGCCATTGTTTTCCACTGAGGCCTTTTAC